GGTGGGCGGGTGAGTGGGCCCCCACCAAGAGCAAGTTTCTGATTCTACTATGCACAGATGCATACTGGTATAGCAGTACATGCGGTGCACTGGAATTCTGCCAAGACACCACTGCACAAGCCCCGTTTCCCTGAGGGGGAAAAATCCTGCATATATTCTTGCATTAACAGGTGGGAGAATTACTTGACAAAAATAATCACTGGTGGAAGGAAAGAGTAATTGCAGATCCTGGTGCTGAGTGAAAAGCATGAGAGCAAAGGGAAGAGGGGAGCCTTACTGTTACTTTCACCACATAAGTAACGTGTTGTGATATGTCCTACTGTCGCTAGCAGGCCAGAACAATCCATACTCCCCCTAGCTCCCTCTAGCAGCCTATTTCAATAACAAACTTTGTTAATATTTACAAGAATAATATAATATATGCTGTCAAGTTGATTCTGACCTTCAACAACCCTTTTTCAGGGATTCCAGGTAGAGAGTACTGTATTCAGAAGTGCTTTACCATTCCTTTCTTCTGGGGACGCCCTGGGACTGTGCAGGTTGCCCAAAGGCCACACAGGCTGGCTCTACTTTACAGGAGGCCCAGCGTGGCATCAAACTCCCAACCTCTGGCTCCACAGCCAGATAACTAAACCAGTGAGCTATCCAGCCAGCCTCTTTTACAAGACTACCAAAGGCAAAACCAAATGTACAGTAATATTTCTCTCACCACCTAGGACTGATAAAGGATTGATTTAAAACCTGCAAAATTGCTGCTCAAATGCTTGTAAAATGCTTTGTGTTTAGAAAGTACTGTAACTTTGAAAGTGACTACACAATGTGATTCATTACGCCTTAAAATAAGTTTGTAACTTTACTTGTTACATTGCTTTTACTGTGACTTTATAACTCTTTGTTACATCCATCATTTCCCAAGAAGTAATTAAGTACTGTACAAGTTAATCATGTTACATGTAACTAGTTGCTTCCAAGCTGTGAGAGAGAGTTTAGGAGAAACATCTTCTGAAGCTCCTTCCTACTGCAGTTTTTAGAAACATTTCTCAAACCCTCTCCCTTGTCCCACAGATGATTCAGCATGTTTTTTCACTTCATGAATCTAAGCACTCCCCTTATCACAAGCAATAGACTTACATCCTCTAGAAATACTGGGATTTCCAGTGGCTGGACGGCAATCCTCTGGGCCTTACTGCGCTTGCGGGACGGTGAGCAGTGGACGCGGGAACGTGAGCGCCCTCGGGAACGTGAGCGCCCTCGGGATCGTGAGCGCCTTCGGGATGGTGAGCGCCCTCTCTGCTTTGGGCTACTAGTCCAGATTTCTTCCTCTTAAGGAAAAAAAATATGCTGGATTGTTGGTTGCTTTAGAAGATGGCAGCAATATCAGCAGCTTTCCATTCAAGCAAATTTTAACCCAGGCTGCCCTTCACCTCCCCAAGCATGGATCCTGGACTGTTTCATAGAAGCCGCATTGAAAGCTCCCCCCCCCAGCACAACGATCAAACTACTAAGAACAATGACAACACACTGAGGCAGATGATAATTAACTGAAACGTTGTAGTCACCCAACAAAGGAAACCTTTTTAAATTTTCCAGTTTTTGCCAGCTACATAGAATTCCATGAGTCTGACCAAATAAGCCACCCACCCTGGAGCAGAGAGAATGTTTTTTGTATCTGCTTTTCCCTGCATTAAAATATCAATTTCAATATTTCTCGGTGAACTGTTAATTAACAGTTTGCTGCCGCATTTCACAGCTATCTTTCTTGTGTCTGCTCTTTCGCTTTCCACTTTTCCCCTCAAAATCCCAGGGAGTCTCTCTCTTAGGCCGGCCTTCTAAAGGAAAGGAAAATTCATCACAAACAAGGGACAAGAGGAGTCAAAACTGGGCTTCTCTCTCTCTCTGCCACTGACAGTACTTTGGACAGCAGGTCGAATGGTGCAATTCAGGGGAACCTATGCTGGTAAACTGAGTCTGAAAACAGACTGGGAACCATAGCCCCCACTTCCAAAAAGGACTGGGACCCTCTTTTTCCAAACCCCTCTTGTAAATGAGGTCTTCCCAAAGATTGTTTGTGGCACCCAGAGAAAGAGAGAGAGGGGTTGTTTTTTTTTTTGACAGCATCACCAACAACACTGAAAGGTCTACACAGACAAACACATCAATTTCCACTCCTCAGTGGTTTGGTCACTTCTCTACTCACAACAAAGCCACTGCATTCCCACAAATCAGTCTGGCGGCGAGATTAAAACGGATCTCCGAGAGAGCCTTTGCTGTAGCGCAGGGGTGGCTGCGAAAAACACAGCAAGAGGCAGCCTCCCGAGTTGTCGCATTTGCGGTTTGCTGTTGTCCCGGAAGAGTTCAGAACGGATTTTTAAGCATCACACACCAATCCTGCTCATGCGGTTAGCCTGGCATGGATTTGCCCAGGTGGGAGTTTAGAACAGGATTTTAACAAAGCCTATCTGCTCCGAAACCGGGGTTCTGACAGCTATGAACCACAACCGCTCTCTGTCAGCCTAGCACTCACGCTTCTGTTTGTTAGTTCTGTACTCTGAACAGGACGGCAGCTCCGGGAATCCTGAGTCAGTGAATTCTTCATTTTCTGCATTCAGTAGAGTTTCTTGAAGAAAGAGCTCTGGGTTTATTAGGCAATAGCATTTCTAGTGGGGGGGGGGAGAGACAAAGACTGCACACCTCCCACAGATACAAACTCCAAGGTCTAGCAAGCAATGAGGCAGGCTTTGCGTTAAGACTCGCTCTGGGAAATGATAGCACAGCCCAGGCATCTAGGGCTTATCACAGGACCCATCTTACTTCCTGCAACCCTCTTCCTCAACTGGCACATCATCACCATTACCAGGTACCAGTTTCTGTACCCATCCTGTGCCCTTCCCTATTTCTCAGCTCCCCTCAAAGAAGGAAAGGATGTTGTTAATAATCCCTTCATTGTCTTTTCTACAAGGCAATAACTTGTGATCCCTGCGCTTCGCACTATGAAAATCCAGGGTGTGGTTGTTGTGGATTTTTCGGGCTCCTTTGTTTCTTTATCTTATTTATAGGCCACCTTTCTCCCAATAAGGGGACTCAAGGCAGCTCACAGCGTTAAAAACATAGAATTAAAAACACAATGAATTCTACATTTAAAAACATTCATTAAACTAAGTACTTGAAATACTCTGAATACAATTCAAATGCATTGAATGAGTAAAAACATATAAAACTTTCAAAAGTCAAGTAAAAATGGCATTCAGGGACTTGGTTATGACCATTAAAAGCCTGCCTGAAGAGATGGGTTGTCAGTTGTCAGAGGAAGGGTAAAAAGGAGGAGGCCAAGCTGATCTCCTGAGGGAAAGCCTTCCACAACCTGGGAGCTGCCTCCCAGAGAAGGCCCTCTTGGGCTTCCCCATCAGGCGTGCCTAGGGTGGCAACAGGACCGAGAGGAAGGCCTCCTGTGCAGATCTTAAGAGCCGTGAAGGCTCAGATGGGGGAGATACTTTCATCAAGTCTGTCCCATCCCTCTTACCTGTTTCTTGAAGAAGTCTCCTAATCTCCGTCCGGGTCTCCTGTAGGCTTTGCAGAACCTGCTGGCTCTGCTTGGCTGGATCTTTGTAGGTCCAGATAAAATAAGTGGTTATCGCAAGGCCCAGACCAGCAAAACCACGGCGGGACAGGCCTACCCAGAAGGAGATGTTCTCCTAAGGTGAGCAGAGACAAATCAAGGCAAGCAAGACAAGACCTGTATCAACATGGAGGATCTTGAGGCTAACAAGAGCTGAGCTTCAAGGATAGAAACAGTGCCTTTAAGAAGACTTCCTGTTCAGATCTGAGGGTGTTCCCTACCCAGAGCCTAGAAGGCTTACATTTAGACTAGAAATCACTTTCCTTTACCTCAGGCTGAGAAATGTCTTGGCCTGGCCCAGCAATTCAACTTCAAGATCTGACACATTAAACATGTTTGCTCTACATAGTAACTCAGTCTTACAGAAGGTGTTTCTGCACAGCCAGAATGTTCATTTTCTCCCCTCTGTTGAAATTACGTACTGGAAAGAAGCTGATTCATTGTCTGCAGAACTCTGCCTGCAGCAATTCCTTGTAAAAACAGAATTTGGTAAGAGATGCAGGATCTCAATACAGATAAAGCCCCCACAAGATAACAACTGTATTATTGTTTCCTCACCTGCCACTTCATTTCACTAGCAGATGTGCTGCTGATATAAAAACAAGCTTCTAGCCCATATGACACCAAAAGTATACCTGGAAATGCCAAAGTAACACTTGGCAAAGACTCAGAAGCCAGACAGTGCCTCAAACAGGGCCTTAAAGCATATGCAGAAGCAAAATCAGGATTAAACTGTCAGTTGGAAGCCCTCTTTATTACTCCTTAATTCTTATCTAGGTATTCAGCTGCTTGTCTCTTGCAGAAGTGTTGCTCCTTCACATTCCCCTCTCTGCAAACCTCCAGGAGAAACTTGCTGCAGTGCAGACACCTTCCCTTTGGAAAGGCAAGCATGACATGAAAGTGCTGAGGGGAAAGGGGTGGGGGATGAGCCGAATCTCACATCTATCCCCACCTACATGTGCAGAGCAAGACAGCACCTCGGCAGAGATCAGCATCACTCTCCAGACACAGCTGATTTGGGGACAAAGCTTGAAAAAAAATAATTTTTTTAGACCACCAATCCCAAAATTCCTGACCATGGTGGTGAGTGAACCTCCAAGCTGTAGTCCAAGTCAGTTTTAAAGATCTGTTTTATTGCAGGACAAAAGACCTTACCATCAGGTCATCGCCACCGTCCTGGTGATCCATGAGAAAGCTGCAGATGACACGTTCTAGGTAAATATTAATGCCCACTAAGGTAAGCAAAATAAACCTGGAGATAAGAAAGGGGAGGAGAACATTACCAGTAAGAAGTACTCTAGGAAGCCAATATTTTATTTTCTACAGGTTTACTGTTTGTGGCCTACAGAAAGATGGAAGAATCTCTGCTGCATGGACTTCTGAGAATCTGTCCTTTGTATTGCTTTTTAAAGACAGCTGGCCTTTAGCTCTTGTGATTATAAGGAAAATGAATTCTGAAATGGGAAGAGTCAATATATGAACCTCCACCAGCCCCAAGGGCGGTTGCCGAGGGCTGCCAGAGTCATGAGGGAATAGGGAAGACAGTCACGACTCATGAGGGAATTTTAGGCAACATTCAGGATGAGACACTCTTTGGGACATGTATGTAGACTTATAGAACATGTATTTAGGCTTATATATACCGACATCACTATACAAATACACATCCCTTCTGTTTCTTCCCATGGTTTTATTCTCATCTGCACATGATGCCCTTTCTCCACGCAACAAGATGCTGTGAAAAGCCTGAATTTCAGAAACATACAGTGTCAGTGCAGATCTAGGAAAGTTTCTTGGACTAGCATCAAATCACACCTCGGGTAGTTATTTAGAATCATGGGATTTCAGTAAAACCGAACCGCTCATCTACAGCCCCTCTGTTTTCTCACCGTGCTCCTGCAGTCCGTTGGCAAGAGGTCAACACCAGGCTGGCGGCCCCACTCAGGAGATGGAAAAAGACAGAGTACAAAGCACTCGATTCCCCCACTATGAAGTTGTGCAGGAAAGCCACCCGGTTGAAGATCTCTGCAAAGGCCACTCGCTGCTCGCTGGCGGAGTACTGCAGTTCTTGGAAGGCTTGGCGCACCCCTGCAGAGAGGAGAGGCAAACAAAAAGGCATGTCATGCGGCAGAATCAGGCAGGTTCTAGACTGGGCCTTTAGAAGAAAAGCAAAACGAATCACCCTTATTGCCCCTTCCTGTCTCCGGGAGGAAGTTTTCCATTTGACTTGTATTCTTTTAAAAAGGGCCCTGCCCTAATATACAGTAATACATTTAAAATAATTCCGCCGCCCACCCCCCATTCTTGGCCCCTCCATGGAGCTAAGGAAGGATTTACTTTGCAAATATATTGAAGTGCAGTGTCTTCTTAAGCCACTTCACCATACTGGCAAATCAAGAGTGGGCTGGTGAGGACCAACTAGGCTTGTTTGAGATCCAAGTCCCATTTGGATGCAAGGATAGCACCCAATGGCATTCTGGACCTCCTAGTGACCATCTAGCCCATATCATCCTGCTCCAGCCAAGCCATATAGCCAAGCCGTAACACTGTCATGTTGCGCCTACCAGTAAGTTGGATTCCACACCTACGTGTGCTCACATATGGGGATGTTTTCTCAGCTAGTGTAACAAATAGCCCTGCCTGTACCTCTTGCCTCCGAATTAATTTTTCTAAGGTAAAATGTCTCAACCTATAATGATTTACATTTTATCAAAAACTACTGAGAAAGGAACACTGCAATATACCAGATACAGGGTTGCTTTTGGATCAAAGGATGTGGGGCTCAAATCTCCAAGCAGCAATGAAATTTCCTGAGTGACTCTCTGGACTGGTTACTTATTTTTCAAACTCATGGGTCTCCATTGTGGACGGAATCACCTATCTGAACTGCGATGGAGGAAGATCTGGATGGAAATGTTATCCATATGTATGAATGTGAGTTAGTATCTACCCTGTTTCCCTGAAAATAAGACCTAACCTGAAAATAAATCCTGGTATGATTTTTCAGGATGCTCGTAATATAAGCCCTACCCCCCAAAATAAGCCCCATTTAACTGAAACCCTGCCCTCCGCCATTGTGCAGCAACCAGAAGAAGATGACATGACTGTACTGTATTTGAATGGATGTAGATTCTTATACAAGAAAAAAAATAAAACATCCCCTAAAAATAAGCGTTAATGCATTTTTGGAGCAAAAAAAATAATATAAGACCCTGTCTTATTTTCAGGGAAACAGGGTATTTCTGTGGCATCAATACCATTATATATCATGGATGTTCTTTTAACAACTCTAACCGAATTTATTTATGCTCTTATTTCACTATTTTTACTAGATTTTTTAAATTTCAGTTGTACTGCATCCATGGGAGGGGCTGAGCTAGGAAGACTTGGAGCAGATCAGTTTATGGCTGGCCAGAGGGCAGGATATGTATCTGTTATGCTAGCTTTGACTGTTACTGGATTTTTAGATGGCTGCAATTAGTATGAGAGGCCTAGATCTGGCAAAATTACTTTTTTTGGGCTATAACTCCCAGTATCCCTAAGCCAGCATGGCCAGCACAGCACCTGACCACACTCGCTAAGGATTCTGGGAAATGTAGTACAAAACTGACTTTTTCCAAACTCTGGGCAGACCCTAACTCCCAAGAATACAGCATAAACTGTGTTTCACATTCATAATTATTATATTATTTATTACTTTATTTATTCAATTTGTATCTCGCTCCCATTGGTGTCACAGCACTACTCTGGGCAGGTTACAACTCATTAAATAGAAAACAAAAAAAATAGAAATATTACAACCAATAGCAATATTTGGGACTGCAGGTTTTCTTTTGATTCACAAGATCCCCAAATCATCACCTCAGGCATCTCCAGTTGAACTAGATCCCTCAAGATTATGTTGGACTCTGACCCACAGCAATCCTATCAGTCAACCATTGAGGATGCTGGGAGTTGTAATGCAACATCTGGAGAACCACAGATACAGTATGCGGAGTCACACAGTGCCTGAGACCTTTAAGACTTCTGCATGATTGATCATGCTAGAATAGGGTTTTTTTTTTCTTTTCTTAAAGGTCTGCAGCCAGGATGAGTAATGTGTGATCTTCCCAATGAAGGACTTCAGCTCCCAGAAGCCCCTGTCAACATAGCCAAGGGAGAGGAATTACGGGAGAGGAAGTCCAAAACATCAGGGAAGGCCAATTCTTCTCCACCCTGGGCTAGATGGACCCATAGTCTGGGTCCATATAATGGACTTTCCTAGCTCTCTATAGGTACCTGCTAGAATATTGTTTTATTGGTTGGACCATACTATTACGTACTGGGAATAATGGCTAGCAGGCAGCCAAGCCTATCAAACCCCAGCCAAGCACAACAGTATTCAGCCCAGCCCCAAGTATGGCTAGCAGGCAGCCAAGCCTATCAAACTTTCAGCCCAGCCCCAAGCTGGTGATGTACAAACAGGCATTGGAAGCTTTAGCCCAGTCATCTGCTGAATCTGAGAAATCAGGTATGCATACACATTATCTTGTGAACATTAACATTTCAGGATAATATTTGGTTGGGAAGAGAAGCACTGCAGCTACACTTTCCTAAAATAGCAACAAATGATACCATTCATATTCCTGCTCATGCACAGTCTCTTTCAAATCACTGCCTGTGTGGAATGAGGCAAGACAAGACACCACCATACAAACGTCCAAATACTACCTGTGTATTTGGGACTGCAGGTTTTGTTTTGATTTTTTTAACACATAATATAGTATGGGGGAGGAATATTATGGGTTGGGGTATCTGCAAAGGTGTCTCTTCTAATGCCTGGCACATCACTGAACACTGGGGTGAACAATGTGTGATCCTCTAGATGCTGTTGGACTGCAGCAACTCTGAGCCGTAACCAGCATGGCCAAGGGCAAAGGACCATGGACTGGAAGTCCAGCAACACCCAGATACCTGTTTTGCAACTGCTCCCCTGAAAAATGAAATCACCCCCTGGGGGGCATTATCGCCCACGTTAAGAACCACTGCTCTAGATGCTGTTGGACTGCAGCAACTCTGAGCCGTAACCAGCATGGCCAAGGGCAAAGGACCATGGACTGGAAGTCCAGCAACACCTAGAATGGGCACGCAGGCATCTGTTTTGTGCACCCTTAACAAGGGCACAACACCTGCATGCTTGCTCATTCATGATCCGTGCTCAAGACCCGATGCTACCTCGGGAGGAGTCATGGAGTGTCTGCCGTAGCAGCTCTCCATCTTGCAGGATCTGCTCCTGAGAGCGCAAGGTAGCGTTCTGTGCCAGGGCGATCTTTTCGGCAAGCCGATTGGTGGATTCCAGTTGGCGGGCTACAGTCTCAGAAGACGATGTCAGCCTGGAATGTAGAGCGGAAGCAAGAACCAATTTTAATTACTGATTCAGGAAGGAAGCAATTGGAGGGAATGACTTGGTTTCACTTGTCTTTATTCTAATGCACAGAACAGGGGAAGCAAATACGATAAACTTGAAATATTAACATTGGGGCAAATACCATTTTGTTGGCATTACTGAAATTTGGTGGGATGAGAGTCATGATTGAAATTAAGGGTATATTTTTTTTTAAAAAAATAACAAGTAGGAAAGGTGTTGGCGGAATAGCATTATATGTAAAGAATATGGATATATATAAGGAGAACCATGGTATATTTTTTTAAAAAAATAACAAGTAGGAAAGGTGTTGGCGGAATAGCATTATATGTAAAGAATATGGATATATATATATATATATAAGGAGAACCATGACTTGGAACATGGAAGGCTGGTGGAAAGCCTTTGTGTAAAATAAAAACAACAGTGAGCCTGTAACAGATCTCCAAGTTAGGCTGACCACTTACACAGTGTCTTCTTTAATCAGATTATTAAGCACAAGCTGAAATCCTGTTGCACTGTTACACAATAGATGTAATTTATGGTGAGGAATAGCCTCAAATTCAGAAATCCCTATAGACATTATCTGTCTATAAAGAGTTCTCTCTATAGAAAGTCATGATGGTAGCAGCCCAAATAATCGGATCTCCCTTATTTGCATGCTCTTTTCTCAGTTATGTAAGCCTCAAAGTGTACAGAGTGCTCGGGGCCTTCTGAGCAAACCCAGGGGACTGGGAAGCCGCTTCCTTGGCAGATCAGCATTGTGGGGAAAGCCAACAACAAGGCAGGGCCTCTCAAGTGGAGAACATCCACCACATCCTCCTCATGATGGTAAGCGCTAGCTAAGCTCCAAACTGCAGCACAGTAGCTTGGCTATTCCCCCCCCTCCTTGTTCTACTTTTCCACTCAGTGTCAGCCAGACAAACATTGATGTTAAGCAAAGCTGAAGGGCCACGCTTCCCAAATTAGACTTCGCTGTCACAATTAAGCTAGCCTGCTCCAGGAAATGCTGGAATTAGGGTGTCACTCTAAATCAGTACCCCTCCTCCCGATACAGAAGAAGCGCCCTACTTTGGGTGCTGTCAGTTCCACGTGCACAGGCAAAAATCTCTGGTTTCACTCAGCAGAAGGCAAAAGGGAGAACTGGATCTACTGGGAGATCTCTGGGAGATCCACAGTAAATCATCAGGGATTTCTGCCTGCCAATAGTTTACCGATAGCACCAACTACAACAGCAACATGAAATCCTATTTGCCAACATTATACTGTTGAACTTAAGAAAGCTTGAAGTGACAAAGGACTGTGAGCTATGGTCAGTTCTGGCATTTCACATACATTCTGGGTTTCAGAATTTGTTAATCCTCAACACATGCCTAATTAATTAGGCTCAAATTAGATCTTGGGGCTAAAAGCAACGAACAAATAAGGTCTTACCGCCTGAGATCTGGCCACACCCAGTTCATCTTCTGTCTTGGGCAGAATAAAGGTAGCCCATGACCTACACGGAAGAGACTCCTGGCTTTTTGTGCAACTCTGCCTGGGGTTTATTCATCTGTTTAAAATATATTTACACTGCCTTTCTCCTTAAACAGACTCAAGACGGTTGTTGTGGGTTTTTCATGCTCTTTGGCCATGTTCTGAAGGTTGTTCTTCCTGACATTTCGCCAGTTACACAACCTACAAACAGTATTCAGACCCACCACAAAAATACAACAAATGTTATGGTCAGCAAAGGACTGACCCCCTCACCACTGCAGGAGTATACCAGATACCTTGCAGTTGTGGACAGGTATATATTGGAACCATAAAACACAGCATTCACATCAGAATCAAAAAACATGAGAGAGACTGCAGACTAAAACAACCAGAAAAATCTGCAGTAGCTGAACATGCCCTAAAACAAACTGGACATGAAATTCTATTTCAAAATACTGAAGTATTGGACAACACAAGCAAACATTATGTTAGACTGCACAGGGAAGCCGTTGAAATCCATAAACACCAACAGAGCTTCAACAAAAAAGAGGAAAGTCT